ACTATATTCTTAGTTGCTTCTATTCCAAAATAAATTGTCAAATAAGAAATTAACTGAACCCCTAAAGAGTGCCAAAAACGTGAAAATTTAAAACCATTCAGGTTGGTTTAATAAAGTCTATATATGACAGAAAGCTCTTAGACCGGTCTACAGTCCACGCCTTCTAGTACCGGATTAAGCAAAAGTCAATATCAAAATATAATAATTTATGGTAACATTTTAAATTTAGAAACACGTTTTAAGCAACATTCAACATACAAAGATGGAATATTATATTCAAGGGCATCCGTAGATGTGTTAAAACTTATTAGTGATATAAATGTGAAGATGACTTTATAATGTTGGGGTAACGTCCTTTTACATTTTAAAAGACTTCGATTATCGTTTCATTTATATTGCAATATAACATTATGTTAATAAAAAATATATAAGCAAAGATGCAATACTTAATTGTTGGATGTTTTGTTCGTTATTACGTAAAGCATGTAAGTTTATAATATACATGTACCACATAATATTCAGTCCATTCTTAACTTTTAGGCTTTACTACATTTAGGTCAATTACCAATCGAAAAGGAAATAACGATGATGTGAAACAAGCAACTCTAATAAGGCCAATGGAATAAGGTCATTGATTCCGCTCATCACTGGAAACAGGAAACACGATTTTCACGACATCTCATTAATGAGGACGGAATCAATACAGCGGTTTTCGGATGTAGTGTTGCATTCTGTTTATATTATATTTATTCGATTGAAAAAGTAAAAAGATGGAACAATTTATATTGACGTATTAATTTACTGCTTTTTCTGCTTTTTTATGGTATTGTAGAATGGCGTTTTATAGAAAGTCCTTAGTCTGAAATCAGCCTTTAAACAAAATAACTGAGGCAAAATTGCGTTTAAAAGAAAATCTCTTAACTTATCACGTCTTGGTTATGACTCCTGATAGTTCAAATTATCAGTGCCGCTGAACGATTAATGCGCGTGCCATTGTATTTTAAAAGAAGAATAAAGCTAATCGAAGTCTCAAGTCTTTTACTAAAGATGAAAATGCTTATTTAAACGGTTTGTAGTTAGTCTTAAAATTGGTCTTGTAATAAACAATTATTATCAATTCATAACAAAAGATGTAATTTTGTAACTGAATAAGATTTAACATCATTTATGTATAATTTTAGAAAATGACAACTAAAAACAAACATTAAAATTTTGATGAAGAAATTGAAATTTATCATTATAAAAATATAATTTGAAAAATTTAGATGTATTTCATGCGGCTATTTGAATGCACTGACTTTATTTAAGAAGTGAAAAATAATATTTATTTCATTTTTACATTAACATTTATTTCATTCAGATTATATCTGGACTAGCACAACGATTCCTGAAATAATCGAGAAAACATGTTACCGACAAAATAATTAATTTGATGAAGTTCTCAGAAATACTCTTATAAGTTGATTCAAGCTATAATATTGATAATGTATATTAATTCAATAAAGTTGAAAGGTTTCTTTTTTACATAGTTTATACTGTAGGTCTATATGTACTTTATATAATTACAACATTTTTACTACATAGAAGGCAAATGTCATTGCGCAAAGCTTTATAGATGTAGATGAATAGTATTTGAGACACAAAAGAAAACCTACTGGAGCGTGAAGTAAACCAAACAAAAAAATAATTAACGTTTACTTATTTAGCTAAAACGGTCGGAAGTTCATGTGATGCTAAAATTTACAAAACTATATAGGTTGTTGTGCGGTTCCTACTTTCCTTAATGAAATAAATTGTCATATAAAGCTCTTTCGAGAAATATGGTTGCAACGTTGTTCTTTATCCCTTGTGGATCATTTGAGCCGATTTACTTCTTTTTGCACATAAAATATATAAAACTTAGTCGTTCCAATTCCCATCCCAGTGGTGATTTGCAAAGACTTATTTGTCTTACTGTAGAATCACATAGTTCCAAGCAATTAAAGCAATGTAAACATAAAAATATATTTTGCATTTATTATCCTTTATTGATACATACATTTCATTTTCCAATCATATCCATCATGTACTTTATGCTTCCCAGGAGCAAAGCTGAATAATATTGTCAGTGTGATATTGAAAAGCAGACATGATAATGTTACATTTACCGGAATATGATTCAACAATATTTCAACTATGTTTAAGGCGATTAAGTTAATTAAAGTAACACAACAAAATTAAAATTGTGTTGTGGCGTGGGTTTTTCTGCATGTGTTTTATCGCATTGACAGATGAACAATTTACAAAAAATAATTAAGAATAAATCAAATTTATTGTTACATTTCACGATCTTCCCGGTAACCAATATAAAACGTTTTCAGGAAAGTTATTAATAGAGACTCATTGCTTTGTTTGTTTTGTGTTTGATTTCACGTCGCACCAGCACCGTAAAAGGTCATATGCTGACATTCCAGCTTTACTGATGGGCAAGACCTCAAATGATGTAACATAAGCTTGTTATTACGTCTGTATTAGAAGATAAATTATACAGAATTTTAAATATAGAAACCATATTACAACACCACAATTACACAATATGGTTTCCAAAATTGACATAGTAATATTATATATTGAATGTATAAAACTGATATTAAATGTTAATGCTGCTGCATCTTAATATCAAAAGTTAAAACGAGTGCATTATTTTTATAAGTTTTAACTGAACCAATAGAGGGTTGCAACATTTTTCGCGCATTATAATAATTGACATCTGTAGAAACACAATGACACAATTACAGCCAGATCCCAGAGTAAGGGTTGTAGCAAATCCTGGATTCTGTAGATATTTCTGCAAAAAAGGTGCTTAAGCGCTATTTTGCATGTACATATACACCTGACTTGGTAATTCCATGTTTTGTTCATTGCTTTCGGTATAATGAAATCGTGTTTTCATGCTTTTCACATCGAATTCAATGTCATTTGACAGTTATATTTTGATAAATTAAAAAAGTGAAGCTAATGTGGCCTAAATTGCAGCAACCTTTTAACGCGAATTTTGGCGCGAATAAAAAAATAAACATGTCACAACGGCGCGTGCTCGCGTGAATTTATTCGTGAATTTATGTTGTCTTTTTTCCGTTATTAGATATGTTACAGTTTAATTACAAAATTATTGATTGGCATTGCTCTTCAACTTAACCTACAGTTATTAAATTAGATTGCAAAAAATATTACCGTTACGGTTATTTCGTTGTCTACCATTAAATATTTAAACAACATAACAATTGACAAAATGGATGAGTCATACTAGTATTCTGCTAACAAAATACAATCAGACCTTTCAAGTAATGCATAAAACAGCTGCTTTCTACTTTATGATTTCAATTTTAAAGTGGTAAATGAGGAAATAATATATAGCTTATGGTTATTAACTTTTATTATTACTTCCGTGTAATGATGTTCAGAATTACTTTCCTTTACAGTCAACTTTGTTGATAATTATGTTTAGTTGAGATAAAATCAAGATCCTGTTTTCTTGCATGAAAAATGTTCAATATCTTTAGATAAAAATAACTTTATGTTCAAATTTTCATTGTCAAATTGAGCTGAATTAGCAATATATTTCAAAAGATTAATGGTGAAAGACCAACAGTTGATATTGAAAAATGTTTAGCATAAACTATAAATCTGCCTAAAATATAAAAAACTCTTTTTAAAAATTGCACGTCACAGGAAAATCCGAATGATTTTTGTTCTTGGACATTATATTTTAGTACAATTCTGGAGCTGCATTTCATATACATACATTTTCAAAATATTAGAGGTGCATTAAGTTAGCTTAAAATATAGATTATAATTAAAATATTTGCGTTGACTAGTTTCTGGCATTCAGATCATGACAAGCTGTTCTACTTTTGAGATTGGTAATTATATATTATGGTCAATGAGATGCTCTGATATTTTTTTATCTAGGATATGAAAAAGGACAATGGCACATGTTTCCATATCTATTGAACAAAACTAAAAAAAGCCTGTTTAAATATATGATATCAATAGGACATAAATAAAAAAATTTCAATTGTTAACGAATGTTTTATTTCTTGTTGCATTTTTTACACATTTTTATATTATATTGCCAAAATATTTTTTTTTCAATTATTTCTCCAGCACATTACACTATTATAAAGAATAGGGACATAATGTTCTAAATATGCATTAGGACCTCAGACTAAATAACTATTTTGTTATTTCTTATTTGCAAAGATTGCAAAATATTATTTGTGTGCACACTTTATGCGGGTCAAAAGAAGAGTTTGTCTTTTCTTAGAAGTACCATTCAACTATTAAAAATATCCACGGTATACATGTTGTTGCGTAATATTGTCATATCAATAAATCTTTTATGAGGATAAGGAAAAAGAATTACCATTTTAATAGAATTGCACGGAATTACCTACTATTTTGAGTTCAAAACATAGACTATTATATTAACGTTAAAATATACGTGGGAATACAGGATATATTCATAAGATGTAGAAATAAATGATATTTGTTTTCTTACGTTCCTTTACAGAAATATTTCTTGTGAATATCTTGATATGAAGGAATTAAATGAGAGCAACAAATGTAATAAACTAAACTGAGAAAAAGCACGATGTAAACTACATTTCCTTGAAATAATTATTATTTAGAATTGATGAAGTTATCAAAATCATACCGGTAGGTTGTTCTTTACATATACGATGTAGAGCAAATTTTGTTTAAAACATTAAAGTTATTTTGAGATAAAATGTTTTTCATAGAATGCGTGAATGTACAGTTTTCGTTAGTAATAAAGAATACATCTACTTTAACAAACTGACAATTTTCTAAATAAATTAATCGTATTTCATTAATATTGGTCACGTATAAACAAGTACAATAGACACGTTTCAATACATAGCAATATCAGGCATTTCCTGAGCACATGAATTGTTATCAACTGGCGTAATCCTTCTTGACAGTTGTCTATTGATCGGCTTTCAAAGTGGTGAAAACCATCCAAATTCACCTAAGTTATCATATTTTCTGTTGTATAAGTGTAAATCGATTGACGGTTTCGTAGTATATGAGCATCCTGTAAAAGACAGTCTGATATATTCTCATTCAATTTGACATGGTTGAGAAATGTGAAACAGGCACAGAAAAGAAGATTACCGTCTGGCCTTGCCTAGAAAAGTCGATACTGGTGATGTTGTATTCAAGACACTGTTGCATGTTTAGTTTGAATAGCTTGTTTCAATGCATATATAAGTTTGGATTGTGTTAGAGAAGATTGGAATTATGGAAGAGAATATATCAATTACGATGCTTTGATGCAAAGAAGGTTGTATAGCTTTTTATGTCCTTTAATTAATTTCGTATTTGTTTAAGTGCAAAGATGTTTCTCATTATTATAATATGTCATTGTCGTATTACCTTAATTGTTGTTTTCATTTTGGTTTGTAAACGGGTACATAAAAGAAAACTTTTAGATTATGACTACACTTATTGTGGAAGCTTTCGGCAAGAAACGGTGTTTCAAGAAAACAACATCTTTTCCTATCAGAAGCAAAAACGTCTTTGAATAATTACGCCTAAGTAAGAAATTTAAGTATAATAAAATCACTAATTTTGATAACTATAAATTGAAACTGTGTGATTGAAATTCTTAGGTTATTCACTACTTGTCAGTCTAGGACATAATTTAAATTAATTAGTTTGCAATTTGTTTTATGTTCCATCTCTAAATCTGCTAAATCAATTTTTTAATATAAAGACGTATATTTAATATTTTTTGTGGATATTTAAGATGTAAGGTTTGAGAATGGTACAACTTTACTACTACGAGACCAGAGGAAAATGCTGTCGAAAAGTTTTCAATCATGAAGAAGCTCCTATAAAGATACACTTATTTCCTTATGAAGGTAACACTGATTTGATATAATTTAAATTATCAGTATACCATAAAATATAACTGACTTATAACTTATGATAATAATATAGAATATAGCTGACTTTAATGTTTGATGAGTAACTATGTGACAAATATTCAATGTTTCAATTCACGAAGCAGAAATGAAACAGCTATACGAACAATCCATTTTGCATAAAGTCATAATTTTATTTCTTTGTCAAAATGGCCATTTACTTTATTTTGCGTGAAAGATGAGACAGTGTAATGAATTTATAAAGTTTTAGAAACAAGTTTAATATATCTTATTAAGTTAAGTATAATTTTATAACAATTTACAACCTACTTATTGAACACTTCATGGCATTGTAAATTACAGATAATTTCTTGTTTTTTCTTCAAATACAACATATTTTCCCATACTATTTATGTCACATATGTATTATTGAGTGTATTCATGGAAGTTTAAATTTGCAACTTAATATGAAGTTAAAAACTGAAACTGACTTTGATATCTAAGATACTCTTGCAATTTATCATAGGTAGACTTTAGGTATACATATATAAAATCGAATCAGTCTAATATGAGATTTGCTATACAAGACATGTATATTTGCATTAATCTTTGAATTTTGAAATTGTTTTCAGGATGGGCTCAGCCAGCTCTCTCATCCTACTGGGTGCTTAAAACATACTGGTGGAGCAGATCACGCGTTAAAATAACTGAAGTAACGGGCTCTCAAAAACGTGCAATAAGAGGGAAAATCCATTATTTAAAAAACGGCTCTATAGTTTTATCTGGAAAAGTCAAAGGGGATAATCATTTTTGGTTTAGGATGAATTTAACGTCAAATGTCAGTAATGAAGATTTTCAACAAGGGTACTGTGTTACAGGAACGCTAGAAAGGGGAGACAAAAAGCATAGTAAAGGGATGATTTTAACACATTATGCCATGATTAAAAGAAGAGGATATTGATCTTGCAAAGTTCGCAAAGAGTTCATTACAAGAACTAATCAAATGATTGTTAAGAAGAGGTTGTTTTTTTCTCGCGAAATGAACGAATGATAGAATATTCAGCCATCTGAACCTTATTTTGTGCATTGCAATTCCGTTTTGTCTTTTTTCAATAATCTCAATGCTTCATTATATTGATTTTGAAAAGAATATACAGGGTATTATAAACCCTTTGATTTGTTTTGTACAATATAAATTTTGCTGATTAGCATATATTGTTATTAAATTGTTTGTTATGTCCTTATCAACCAGACATATAAGTCGTTAATAATAAATTTTAAGTTTTATAAAGTAATTTTTTTTCTATTTTGCTTATTTGCATATTTGTTGAAATATTATTATTGTTATTTAATAGTAACAGAAAAGCATTGTCATCAGTATGCATTCTTATTGTTTTGTTTCCAGTTAATATGATGAGATAATAGAAAAATAAAATAAACTATCTTTGTCTTAGTTAATTTCAAATATTTCCATCTTTTGAAGTAGCATTAAAACATAAAAACCTCGAACCACTAGACAATTATTAATCTACGTCGTAACTGACCTTTTTTCCTTCGTCAAAGGCCGGTGATACCCCTTGGTCATCTTCCTACTTACTTTATTTTATGACCTCGACCCTATGATAAATTCAAACTTTGTTTATCAAAAGATAATGAAAATATTCTTTGCATTCATGTCTTGATGAGTTTGGCATGAATGTCTGAACAAGAGATGAAGTAATATTACCGTGTAAGACAAGATACCTCGACCAATCAAGCATGATTGTAACGTAATTTTTTTTCTGTTTGGCGGCCTTTACGCTTCTCACAGTGATGATTTCATCAAGCTTGTCTTAAAGGTTTGAAAAAAAGAACAAGTTTCAACAAACATATATCGACACTTCCCCGCAAAGATATATTTTCATAATCGTTCCAACTAACGCATCTGAAGTAAAAGTACTGTGGTTAGCTGCTGTCATTTTTAAGAACAACATTTATGGATGACAAGTAAAAACTGGTGTTGTCATTTCCCAGGGGAAATCATGGATGCATATTGCGCTTCACAAAAATTCAAGTAATTTAACAAAATCATTTTTGTGCCTTAAATTACAAAATGAATAATTTATTGAGAACGAAGAACTTTTTAATAAATTTAAAGCAACTTTGTGCACAACTTGATACTTGTAACGTCTTTTGTGTTGCCATGTTGCACTTTAATAGATTAATGAACTTTAGAAATGCAAGTTGCTTAACACTGTTTTAAGTAGAACACAAGATTTATACATTTTATGGTGTTCAGCTCAAAATTCAGAAACATTTGTAGATGAGTTCATATGGTGATGAGCAGTGAACCTTCACTATGACACTTTCATGCCATGCCATGTTCATGCAGATGTGTGTCCCCAAGTAAAAATATAGAGTTGCACTCCAATAAAAAATGGTAAAACAAAATAACATGGACTTTTGAAAGGAAATCAGAGATTAGGAAACGTCGGTGGTAAAACTCATCAGGTACCGTATCATGTCTGAAAAATGCACGGAGGGGCACCTGAGGTCTTTCTCCACCTGTTAAACTGGAATATTATTCAAAAGTGTCGATGCGACTTAAATCCCAATTATATATTTGTCTAGCTATACATGTATAAACAATCGTCTGTTACTATTTTATCAAGACATGAGTCAGACAATCAATGTTGTTTTTTCTTAGGTTGCTAATGTCAAGTCCCGGAATATCATTTCCATATTTTAACCTTACGGGACTATGCTCTGATTATTTACTGCGTCTGATTGAGCTTGTATATAATTTTCTGTCCTGTAAATCGTTTTTGTAATAAAATGATGCTCCAGACAGACATTCGTTAAAAGGATTTAAGCAATACAACTAAAAAAACATTTAAATACGTTTGCTTAAATTACATACCACTAGATTTAAATCAGCCGGAATTTTGTAGTCATCCCTGTTTAAGTATTAAATTGTTACCGTTTGCGCAAGTTGAATTATAAACAATGAATACAATTCCCTTTACATGGTACATGAAATGCCTTTATGACTTAAAGAAATGTGGAATGTTGATCGTGATATATGTATGTGTTAGGCGAAATACTTTTGAGTGAAACGTGTTAAGAATATACATGTCATCCACTAAATGAAAATAGACCCTAACGCACGTAGTAAAATTAACTTGCTTAAATAGGATATACATCTTTTGACTAATTGAGATAAAATGAGTATGATTCGAATTTTAAAGTGTAATGCTTGATCTTGATAATAACACATATTTTTTCAGATGTTACAAATTGTACATATCTTCATAATTAAACTGGCAACAATTTGTAACTTACATTTTGCTAAATAATTATATTGTTAAAGTGTTAATTTCAATTAAAAGTCAAACATTTTAAACCCTATTGGAAACAATTGGCAGATATCATTATCATTACTCAAGTTTGAATCACGAACAGTCACGCTTTACAAGCAGAGGTAACAAATAACATTCGTTATCAATTTGTTTTATTCTAAAATATATGACATTTTCCCATTCAATTTATCGTATTGTTTTATGTTTCCTGGCAGTCTATACGAAACAAAAATGTCATTGTAAATTAGGAATGCATCATTAATGCCTTTGATTATGTAATAGTTAGGGAATAAATGACAAACGTAATGCAAATGAAACCGGAGTCTTGCAGTGATTTAACATTATTAAATTGCCGTAACATGTCACTGACTTTTTTGATGAAAATATAAATCATATATAAGTTTTAGTCGAATTGAAATTATATAAACGGTTCTCCTAAGCAATTAAAAAACATATTTATTTAATTAATAGTTGTAATTTTGGAAAGAAGCTTTTATATGGCTCTTTTGTGGGAATTTAGCAAATTCGAAGTAATTAAAGTTAAGTGACAACACAACTTTATTAGTTTTATTAACAAAAATATTCAGTAGATGTTATTAACAATAAGAGTTTAAACATCTCAAAGGATGAAATAGTTTAAATATTGAAAGTACAATATATAAGGGACTACACTGAGGTTTTTTATCATGACGGTACTGGAAATAATGTTTCAGAATAAAGGTTCCATTTGATGAAGATCTCGACCAAGAACTTGTGTGCAAGATTTCCAGAATGATTATTCTATATATTGAAAAAACATCTTGTGCATATTTGTCTGTTTTAAGTGCCGCAGTTTATGTCTGTAACTTTTGGACCACAATTGAGTTCCTTTAAGGCTGTTTTACAACATTATGTACAAATAACAAAATTTATTGTATCTCAATTAAAAACTTGTTATTACTTCATTTAGCCAATAGTGATTGAAGTTTTAACAATTTCTAAGTCCGTATTGCAAAGCTAAGTCTTCAAATGTAAATTCATCATAATCTTTTTTCCCTCTTTATTTGATTCTTAAGAGAATCATACTTAATAAGGTAGATTTAACATTAGAAGGTTACATGAAACACCAAATTATGTTCTTGCTATTTTTCGCGACTGTAGGAAATGCAAGCCAAAATGAATAAAAACCTAAAGAAAGTCTGGCATTGTTACTCATTACAAATGGCTTGACTTTTAGAATTAACAAGTCATAACATTACAATTGTTCTGAAAGTCTCAAATGAAAGACAAGAAATTACTAAAATGACAGCCATCTGGCCATGAATAATTTAGAAAATGGAGAGAAACGGAATCGACATAAAAAAGAAATAACAAAGTGTGAAAAAGGGATCACTTGTTTAACATCTTCACATTTAACTAAAATCTAAATTAAGTAATCAAGGTTTGCCCAAGGAACTTTTGAGATAAGAAATTGAATGTTCCACCTGAGAAACTTAGAAGTCACATTGGTCATTAATACAATAATTGAGTATTATTAGTATAATTGAGTACAATTTGAGTATGAATTTAAATCTTTTAAAGGGGCTCAAATGGGTTAATTTAGATGTCAATTTAATTTTGACTGGAAACAATTTTTCAAGTCTTATATAACAATTAATGTTGGTTTGAACCAATAGCTTGTGTGCAAATTTTAAGACCATTTGTCAGGCACTCGAATCGGATTAGGAATTCTGAATATATAATTATATATATTTTTTTACAATATTTTTGTTTTTTTAAGTCGCCAGATTGATCTAGATCTCGATAGATTCCTGAACTTAGCTAGTTAATGAATGTTTGATTTAATTTTTCAATAAATTTAATTTAAAAATCATAGAAAAAAAAGTTTTTTATCCTTTCAGATAAAAAAGTATACCCTTATCGTTCTGCTTTCACAAAATCCATCATCTATTGACGTGTTGTATCCAGTCGAGAAAAGATGTACATACTTCCTATTAACAAAAATATTTAAACTACTAGTTCGAAACAAAGGATTAAACTATAGACAATGTAATAGCGTGATATTGTCATACACAATAGGTCTTTTCTTGGGAAACAGATTTACCACATTGATATAAAATATTTATAACCACCAACTACTTGAGTTACAACATAGACAATTTTAGCCTAAAGCTAATGAGACAACAACTCATGTATTCTTTACAGACAGATTTCTCGGTGTCGCAGTCTCAAAACAATATATAAATATTTTTAAAAAAATGATAGATAAAAAAAACAATTTAAGCTGGAAAATACTTACAAGGCCTCCACTCTTAAATAGAGCATAACTAAATATTGCGTTGCTTTCTTTTTTTTTCCACTTGTCCACTTTCTTTCATTATTATTGTTTAATATAAACATCAAAAATTTTAATCATTATTTGTCATTTATTTCGCTTCGTAACATAACGACTCCCAAAAGATAGGAATTAAAACCTGTTTTGGATAATTTCATGTTTATTAAAATGAATCAACGTTAATAATCAAGAACGGATAAATGTGAGGAAATCATGTTACGACTGTTGGTGAATAACTGTGTTGATAAAATAACGCAAAAAAGTATGGTTTTCCTTATAAAATTCAAAGAATAAGTTTCTGCATATCTATCTCTCGTCTAATGAAAGCCATCCTATTTCGTTGTATAAGATTTCGAATTGAAACAGATCTAGTTAGACCTGTTACAACCCTTGCTGCTTCATATTGTAGTTTTTCTAAAGTTTCTTTTTCATATTGTGTACAAATATCCCATACAATTGATGCATATTCAAGCCTTGGACGACGATAGGAAACATATATATGATTAAGAGTATTTCTTTTAACTTTGAATTTTATCAATTTCATTGAACCTAGTATTTTTGATGCAGATGATACTATATTTGCGATGTGCTCATGCCAGTTACCGTCTTGGCTAAATGTGACACCTAGATGTTTATGGTGGTCTACAAA